GGTCATGGCCCCTCCACTTGGTAGCACCTGGCTGAGGGCAGAGAGGGATCCTGGCTCAGGCAACCTGGGTTTGCTGACGCCCAGAGGTGGCTGGGTCAGGTCCTGGGGTAGGACAACACACAAGGGCTCAGGACACTGGTGACACTGATCTTTTCTCAATGCCCTGGGTCAAGCCACGTCCCGTCCCTTCTGCTCCAGCCACCCACATGGGTCCCAAAGCCAGCGTTCTCACTGAGCACCCTGTCAAAACCGCAGAGGATGGGAAGGGGCAGGACCTGGCCCGGCAAGCGCTTGCCACAGTGCGCTGTGCCTTTTCCCTGCCGCCGGGATAGATCTGGAGACCGTTGGTGCCACTTTGTTGGTGTCGAGTGCCGGACACGGAAGCAGAGCTGCGCTTCCAGTGATCCTCCCCCCAGTGACAGTGGGGCTGGGGGCAGCCTTTCCCCCCGCAGAGCTGAGAGCCTGTCCCTCCGCCAGCGGGGCAGCTCCCGCGATGGCTCAAATGAGGAGGGACAGATCCAACTGCAGAAGTCCCTCCGTTATGGCCCCTGTGGGACCTCAGCAACCCCGGTGGCTCCCAGCTCCTCTGTGGACGAGACATCATATTCATCACATCATCGGTGCAGTCCAGCTGCAATACGGGGAGAATTTTGGCCCCTGAGAGCACCATGGTGGCTTCAGCTGCTCTCCTCACTGAATGGCGGTGGAAGGAGCTACAGGGGATGGACACGGAGGGAGAGCCCTGGTGCTCAAACGTGTCTGCAAGGTCTGGGCACATTGCATGGACCCGGCGCTGAGACAGCCCTCACCCCACACTCGGCAAAGCCGGGTTTCTGCCTCCGTTAAGGGCCAGCTATCGATGCCCCTTGGGCAGCGGTTCGGTGCCGGACAAGTGCTTGCAACCACCCCATGCATGGGGTTGGGCTGCCTCTGGGGCCTTTAACAAATGCCCGTATAAAAGATTCCCACTGGTTTGTTCCCCCATAATTAATATGCCTGGACAGTGCAAACGACACGTTAATTATGAAACTAAAGAGATAACAGTATGTTGTTTAAGCACTGCACAAGCAAGAAAGAGCGCTGCCCTTTCTATCTCTGTATTTCATCTACAAAGCAAAAAGCTGAAGAGTTTCGGGGCAGACTAAAGCATTGTCTTCATTTCCTAGGTGAAAAGCTAGGAATAAACCTGCCTCTTCGCATGGAGGCAAAAGCCCTCCATGCAGCAGCACTTTTTCCACCGGGAGGTTGCCGGCATGCTGCATCTGCAACCCATCAGAGGAAAGCGTTTGGGTTTATTGTTCCCGCTCCTGGCTCCAAACAGACTTTTCTGTTTGGCGGCATTTTTTTATTCAAATTTTGTAAACACAAGCTCTCCTCGCCCCTTTTTGGTCTGAAGCCCACTCGGTGGGTTCACGTCACGGGGCGCGGCAACTGTCCTTGGAGCTCGGCTCCGGCGGCGCTGCCAGGAGCCGCTCTGAAATGCCCATAAAAGCAGCTTTGCAGCGATCCGATGCGTCTGAGCAAATGTTTGCGCACACCTCCGAGCCCTTGTCTTTCTCGGTTAGCTTCAGCTCGTCCTCCTGGGGGAAGGCAGAGCTGGAGAAGACGAGCGGTGACGTATGGAAAGGAATTAAAGTTTGAAAGCACTCACCGCTGTCCTCAAAGCAGCTGCTCCAGGCATGTGATGTTGGATGAGCCCTGCTGTTCCCCCGCTCCTCGTCTCTGCCCAGCACCCACCAGGCCACCCGAAATCCCGTGCAGCCCCCGGGATGGGGCTATTTGCATCCCGTCATTCAGTACCCAAATATCAGTGGTCCCCGGTGCCAATTTTCCTGCCATGACTTTCATCCTCTGCCCATCAGTGGTGCTACTAAATCAATCCTGGGAATGTCGTGGGTTTTGGAGGGGAAGGGGCCGGCAGCATCTCGCTGATCGATTTGGGGCGTGGAACGGATGCCCCGAGAGGTTGCTCTGGCCATTACGTGCGGTGACCCGCTGCTGTCCTGCCTTCGAGCACCCTGCTGTTGCTCCAGAGTCCTCACACCTTTTACGATGACCTTGCCTCTAACTGCACTTGGCGTGCCCATGCTCCGGGGCTGCGCATCCCCTTCTCCCAGGAGGAGTGATGTGTCCTGCAGCTATCGCGGTTAAATACAGCAAAAGAACCGGGACCAGCCGGAATCTGAATGGTTTGACTGGGCAGGAGCAGCCCTCTACCACCTGAACCTTTGCAGTGCTTAGGACCGGTGGAGCCACGCGGCATTCGGTCCAACGCATAAAGGAGGTTGGGAGCTGCTCTTCAGCCTGGCCTTGGCCAAGTGCCATCCCTGCTGTCTGGGGACAGGTGGGCCAAAGGAGGTTGTGGGGCCAGGAGGAATGGCTGGGTTGGCTCTGCATCGGGCAGAGATGGGGACTGGGCAGCGGGGGAACCGCAGAAGGGGCCAGCGAGGTGTCACCAAGGAGCTGGGCTGGGTTAGTCTGGCCAAAAGGAGGTTGAAAGGGGGTCTTCTAGCAGCTTACAACTCCTGGAGTGGTAGTTATAAAGATGGTGGAGCTACACTTTCCTTGGTAGTGGCAGATGATATAACGTGGGGCAACAGCCACAGATGGTGGCTTGGGAGGGTCGGGTTGTGTGTTAGGGAAGACTTCTTCCCTGCAGGATGGTGCAGCCCTGAGATGGACACCTGGAGAGGTGAGGTTGTTCCATTCTTGAGGGTTCTCAAGGCAGGACTGACGTGATCCAGTGCTGGTGACAGTCCTGTGGCCTGTTGAATGGGAGACTCCAGAGGTCCCTTCCCACCAATGCTGTGTGATGTTATAACAAGTCTCTAGATGTTTGGATTCCGATCCATACCAAAGGCAGCATCTCAGCCCTAAAGCCTCCTCCTGCCTATGGCCAGAGAGGTCTCTCAGAACTCATTCGAGGTCCTGTAAAGAGTCTTCGGTGATGCCAGCGCCCAGCTTACACGTGCTCGTCACTCGCCGCAGCAGTGTCAGCCAGCCCCGTGGCACAGGGGTCGGCTGGTCTGCACTGCTCGCTTGGAAATCAGGGTTTCTCCACGTCCCATGGTTAGTGGCCTCTTTCCAGCTAGTGTTGCAAATCCTAGTCCAGAATAATTAACCAGAATAATTAACTAAAGGCACGAGGCAAGAGCAGCTAGGATGGATGGAGGGGCATACAGGGGTGTCTCTGGGACAGGATGGAGGAGAGCAGCAGAGCAGTGCTAGCTGGCGTGGTCCAGGGAGACGTGGGGCCTCCCGGGCAAGGACAGGAGAAGGAGAAGTTGGCACCCCTGGTGAGCAGAGGAAATCCTCCCTTCACCTTACCTCCAACACGTTGGAAGCGGCACGGGAGCGTCCTCTCTGCCCTGGGACAAGCGCCAAGGCTCAGCTGTTGTCCCAGATAAGCGGTGAGAAACAGCAAAACACCCCAGCACCTCATCCAAAGTGTGGCACAGCCTGTGATGGGCTTAGGGGTAGCAGGGACCCAAGGTACCCCCTGTGACAGCCCCCATGATCCCCGAAATGAAATCTGTTGCCTCTCTACAGATAGATGAACGAGTCCTGGGATCACAAAATGAATGGGCAGCAGATACAGGGTGCAGGAGCCCGGCCAGAGACAGACATCCCTCTGTTATCACCTATAACCAGCGTCCAGCAGGTGGACCATGCTCCTAGCTATCCTGTCTCCTGCGCCCGTGACCTGCTTGTTTGAGGGTGAGAAAGAGCCCTTGGAAAATGTTAAGCTGAGAAAGTGTGTGTAAAAACACTAGATTGTCTACAGGTGGTGGTTGTTTCAAGTCCCACCTTGATTTCTCAGCTGATTACAACCTGTTTCTACCTCAAATACTTACGTAACCCCCTCCCCAGGACCTGCCTGATGGTTGAGAGCACCTCACAGCTTTTACCGCCTTTCCTTGGCAGGGCGCTGCTGTTCCCATCATTTATAGGCAGGACAGCGTGGTTGGAGCTGCTTGCATGGGACATGGTGGCAGGGCAGCTGGGGGCATGCTGCCCATCCCCATGTGTGAAGAAGTGTGATGGAGAGCTGGAAGTTGCTCTGGAGATGGAGATACTGTTTTCCAGCTGGCAGTGACCTGGCTGGGGTTTGTGGCTTGGAGGCCTCCCCAGCAAGCTGCTTTCTGAGCCCTGCCAGGTGCTTGCAGCAGCACAGTTGGTTTTGGGTGGGCATCGCTGCCGAGTTACCCCACGCTTGCTGCATGCAAGCTAAGAAGGTTACAACACTGCAAGTGAAGTGCATATTCAAATGACCTCAGGAGACCGTGCAGTCTTGGGCATAAGAGGAACTTTTTGGCCTCACTTAGGTGCTTTTCCTCAGTGTGGATCTGGCTTCACTGCCAGCTCGTCCACCCCAAACAGGAACCGGTGTGGGAGAGGTTGGTGGGTGCAGGCTGGATAGTCACAGCATCACCTCTGCTCTTCTAAGCGGTGCATCTCTGTGGACGTGGTATGGCAAGGACAGGGCCTCTGATGCAGACCTCGGCTAGACTGCAGAGGTAGATGCCTCAGGGTGTAAAAATACATTGCTGTAAAACTTGGGTAAGCATGGTCCAAACCAGAGTGTCACCCTGGTCCTGCACTGGTTCAGCTGATGTGGTCTCAGATCACACAGTTAAAGCTGAGCATCTCCACATGGAAGTGGAGAACCACCCAAAGAAAAAAATCCTCAACCAAAACCACTGCAGAGACATCACAATTTTCTGGTGGACTGGCTCACTTGCACAAGCTGGTAGCAGCGACTGCTTCATTTGTCCCACCTTTTGACCACCCTTGTAAGCTCCTGGGAGCAGGAAACGTCTCCCTGTGCAGTTGGTTGGACCATCAAGGACTCCACGTGCTGAAGCACGTGCTAAAGCACATGGTGCTTCGCCACAGTGCTTTGGGAAGGGAGAGGCTGCCTGGGTGTGATGTTTATGGGGACATCAAGGGGACTTACGAGCCACAAGATGCTGGGACGTAGGGATGCTGCCACCACATACAGCTCTGAGGTGTGGTTGTGCAGGCAGGATGCTTCTCTCTTGCCCAACAGCGACACGATGATCTTGCCTACAGAATGAATCACAGGTTACGGGCCATCAGTCTGGCAGCGACGTGGTGGACCTGCCGTCGTTGCCCCAGCGTGATGGACGCAGCAGCTCTTCCGCTTGCAGCGGGTGTTTTTCCTGCTGTGGAAGAGGCGGTGCGTTTCCTCCGTGTGTGCGCGCAGCGTGGCTTCCTTGGGGGTCTGACGAAAGCCCGCTGCTGCTTCTGACTTCCACCCCTTTGTGTCTTCCTCTGCTTGCCGCAGGCTCTGTCTCTCCTGACTCAAAGTCTGTAGAAAGTAAAAAAAAAAACCCTAAACACCGAGAAAATTCTGTGAGGTTATGCTGGTTTTTGCTTAATTAGCACAGGAAGCAAATGTTCCTGGTCTTTGTCAGGGCGGGCTTGCTTTGAGTCTTTTCGGCACGGCAGGCAACGCTATTCCTGGGAGTTATTCCTGCGCAGCCTTGAGCTGGGGATGAAGTCATGGTGAAGCGCAGCATCGCTGAAGACCGGAGAAAGCCCTTGCTCTGCTGAGGATCTGTCCGTGCCGAGCTCCGTGGGTGGACTGGGGGCTCTCGCTGTGGTTCGGCAGGGCTGGGTGTATTCTTTGTGTGAAAAGTCTCCCCCAAAAACACCCTGTAGGACAACATTGTAAATAAGTAAATTGTTTTTCTTTAATTAAAAAGTGTTTTTTTTCCTGCCCCCTTGCAGGACCTGGCAGGGATCGGGCTCTCTGGCTTAGCAGCTCATTACACAGCCTTACAAAAAGAAATAGCCGCTTTGCCGCTCTCTGTATGAGAACTCAATGAGCAAATCCACGGCGCTGCATGCAAACAGCTGCTGCTGCTAAAAGCTCTAACCTAGAGAGCAAGGAAATGCAAAGCCAATGCTCCCAGGAGGACGTTTCCTCCCCTCCAACACACCTTCTGCGATGAAACCACGCGGCCTCGCAGGCGCTTGCTTGACTATGGGAACCACCTCGGTGATGGTGCTGCCTGCATGTCCTCTCCGGTGCTGGACCCGGAGCTCCTTGGGTTGTGCTGGACGATGCTTGTGCATGGGGACAGCTGAGTTTAGGGTTAAATTTTCAGGGGGAGCCTCTGTATAACCAGGTGGCAAAGCAAATCAGAGGCTGGGGCTTGAACAGGGCAGTAAACCCAGGTGTCAGTGGAGAAATCAGCTGTGATTGCCCCAGCCGGGCTCACACCTTTTCACAACAAGCACATGGGCAAAATGTTATCCCTGAGCTACTGCTGGAAGGAAATGGTCGCCCGGAGCCGGTCGTGGACTCAGTTTGATTTTGAAGTGACATTCAATGCAGTTGGGACAGCACAGGCCATGGGTGCATTAGAGCGTCTCCAGCAAGGGCTAACCCTGGCGAGCCAAGGACTGGGAGCACACATTGCTTTTGCAGCTCGGGGGGTGGGCTATGGGACCACTGGGGCAAGGTAGGGCTGATGTTTCCCCTCACTTTCACCCAGCCTCGGCGCTGAGGAATCATAGAATCATAGAATCATTAAGGTTGGAAAAGACCTCTAAGATCATCGAGTCCAACCGTCAACCCAACACCACCGTGCCCACTAAACCATGTCCCTAAGCGCCTCATCTACACGTCTTTTAAATACCTCCAGGGATGGTGACTCAACCACTTCCCTGGGCAGCCTGTTCCAAGGTTTAACCACTCTTTCAGTAAAGAAATTTTAGCAGAAGAAGTGCAGTGAGGACTGGGTACAAGCAATGCTGGTTAAGCTAACGTGGCTCAGATCCCCTGAACATCTCCCACTTGGCGGGTTGACCCCGGACCTTTGGGGTTTTACATGTTTGCCTCGCACAGGGGTCAAGCCGTGGGGTGCAGCACGCAGGAACGAGCCACACACCCCATGTTCTGCTCCCGTTACACATCCCCAACTGCGGGCTGCCCTCTTGCACGAAGGCCTGGAAGAAGGCAGGACCCTCTTCATCCTCTCCAACTGCCATAGTGGAGATGGGCATCGGGGACCTGGGACCCCCGCCAGAGCCTGGCTCCAACCTGTGCCAACCTCCCTGCCTGCTTTGTTAGGAGGAGGCGGGTTAGGCACCGGTGCGGGCAGGGAGAAGGGCAAGAAGATGGACATGCCTCAGCCCTGCTCCTCCTCCCAGGCCTGAGAGCAGGGCTGCGCTCCTGGCACCCACCGGCTCTCTGCGGGGAGGTGGGGCTGCTCTGGCAGGAGGGGTTGGGCTGCTGTCCCCAGGGAATCGGGGGCTGCTGTTGTGGGGGATTTGGGGCTGCTCTCCTGGGGTCTCAGGGCCACTGTCCTGGGCTCAGAGGGCCGCTGTCCCGGGGGATATGGGGCCACTGTCCTGGGGGATGTGGGGCCACCGTCCCGGGGTTACGGGACCCACGTCCTGAGCTCCTG